TACATATATATATATGTATATGTATATATATCACATTTTAAAACCTATTTATCTAGCAATGCACATCATTGGTTGATCTATATCTTGGCTAGAGGATAGAAGTGCAAAGCCCATGTATGTCATCTCTTTGATACATATGAAATGGGATTTCTGGATCATATGGTAATTCTATTTTTAATTTTTTTGAAAAAAAATCCATATGATTTTCCATCATGACAATATCAATACACATTCCCAGAATAGTGAATGAGTTTCCTTTCATCTGATACCTTGGTAGCTTTTGTTATTTTTCTTCAATAGCACTCTTTTAACTGGGGTGAGATGATATTTCGTTATGGTTTTGATTTGCATTTCCATAATGTTTAGCACCGTTGAATATTTTCTAAACAATACATTCATTGGCTATATACATGTGAAAGTCCATTCAGACTATTTTCTCATTTTTACATTAGACTTGTATTCTCCTTTTGGGTTGCTTGAGTTCCTTACATAATCTGGATATGAACCCTTTGCCATATGAAGAATTCACAAATATTTTCTTCCATTTTGTATGTTGTCTCATAACTATTGTTTTCTTTGTTGTGCAGATGCTTCTTCGCTTTATGTGGTCTCATTTTTCTTGTTTTACTTTCTTTTCCTTTTCTTTGGGAATTTTATCAAAACAAGTATTACCTATACCAGTATCTTGAGGTGTTTCTCCTATGTTTTCTTATAACCATTTCATAGTTTTGTTATTTACATTTATGTCTTCATCTGGAGTCAACTCTCTTACAATGGTCTGTGTGTCTGTTTTTACACTGATAACATTTGGCTTTTATTACTACAGCTTTATGTTTTGAAGTCTGATGTCAGGTGGTCTCAAGTACTGTTCTTTGTGTTCAGGGCTGATTTGCTAATTCTAGCTCTCGCGGATCCGTATTAATTCTACTAACATATTGACTGTTTTTTTTGTTTTGTTTTGTTTTTTGTACTGGGGTTTGAACTCAGGACTTGCACTTATGAAGCAGGCAGTGAAACTACTGAACTAAATCTCTGGTGAACATATTGTCTTTGACCACTGGCATCTTTAGGGTATCACAGCTGGATGATTCTGGAAATACGCTCACTGGTGAAGAGAAGAGAATTTTAATTACCTACCAGTAAAGCAGCACAAATTGGACCATGGATAATGTAGAGGAGATGGGTATCAGAACTAATCCAGCAACTAGAGAAAAATGAAAACATTGTGTCAAATATTTTCACTTCACCTAGTTCTAATAGAAATCATAAAGAGAGATATCTTACTTGTCATTGTAATATAAGCTTCTGGCAATAGCATGTATACAGGCAGGGATGAGTGGAAATCCTAAAAATATAAATGAAAAAGAAAATAAATACCTAACTTTCACTATTGATGGCACCCCTGAAATACAGGCTGAAATATGAAGTGCAGATATTTTAGAAACAAAAATTACTGGCCACCATCTATTTATGGAGTACATGTTATCTATGCAGTCAAGCAATAAATATGATACATTCTCAAGCATTTATATTTGTGTATTTGTCTGCATACATTGCTGTATATTTTATTCCAATATGCGTCACTTTGAATTGGTGTACTCCACAGCTTAAATAAATAAATGCCCTGCTTAAATCCCAAAGCCTAGAGGAAATTCAGCATTCATCTACTTTCTGGGAAACAGAATCAACTGAGTTTTCAGATGATAAATGTGGGAAAGAGCTGAGACTGATAGGACTTTCTACTATAAGAACCAGATGAACACCCATTTTTCTAAAGCAGGAAGAGAAAGAAATTATTAATTTTGTTTTTGGAGCAGGGTCTCACTCTTTAGTACAGGCTAGCCTTCAACTCCCTATGTAGCCCAGGCTGACCTGGAACTCGAGGCAATACTCCTGCCTCAGCCTCCTGAGTTCTGGGGTTACTGGTGGGTGTGTGCCGCCATGCATGGACAGAAATTATTTTTTTGTGCTGGAAATGTGTTATGTTTTGAACTTCCAAATTAGATCTTTCAAGAATAAGATAAATGAAAATGTGCTGAAGATTGCGTGTCTGAGTATTTGCGCCTTTTTATATTTATATCTTGATTTAGACAGATGACCGATGGCTGCTTAGACAGATAACTCATATTCCAGTTTTGATCTTGGAAACTAGTCCTATTTAAATAATGTACACAATTTTATATTTCGCTTTACTCCGAGTATCCCAGATTGCATTCATTACTGGGATCTTGCACCTTTGCATGACAGGTCTTGGTTCTCATTTTTTCCCCTTGTCCCTAACCCCCTGAATTTTATAAATAATATTATGTCAAGATATCATGTAGAAAGAAATAGATCTTCTAATCCTGACACGTCTAATCCAATTACAAAACAGCAATTTAATACAAACACTTAAGTTCCTGAGATGGACTCAAAGCTGATTAAGCCCCACGAAATGAGAACCGAAATTCAGAATGGGTCCAAGAGTAAATCCTCATTGCACAATATTAATCCTATTTTTAATCGATACATCTTCAGCCATGATAAACTATTCATAGGAACACTTGACATAAAAGGGACAATGTGTTATTAACCAGCCTGGGATGACTGAAAACATGAGAGTCAGTGACGCTTTGCTTTAAAGATTTGAATGTCCAGCGATAAGCAGATCAATGGATGATCTTTTTTTTTTTGTTTGTTTGTTTGTTTGGGTTTTTTGAGACAGGGTCTCACTATGTAGTTGAGACTGACTTGGAACTTACTATGTAGCCCAGGCTGGTCTCGAACTCACAGTAATCCTCCTGCCTCAGCCTCCTGAGTGCTGGGATTAAGGGTGTGCACCACCATGCCCTGCTTGGATGATCTCTAAAATTTCAGATAAGGAATACACTTTTATTACCGAAACACCTTGCGTCCTCCAAAAGCTTTCTTGCTCGTTTGGATCGGCAGATGTGCATAACGGCACTTACCCCACCCAAGAAAATAATACCACATCAAGCGTTGCTTCTCGGCAAACACAGCCACTACGATGAGCGTGTGCAGGTAAATGCCTTCACACAGCATCCAGAAGTAGTTACAGCCCAGCAGGTACAGATGGATGAACTGGGACACTTTACAGCTCACCTGCGAGCAAAAAGAATTATTTTTTTTGCTTTGGAATCCATATAAACTGATAGTGTAATTTTTTTACACAAAAATTTATACATTAATGATGCAGATTTGTAAAATGCCATTCTTTATATACATTGAACGGTACCTTTCATGTTTTTGGCCACAGACTCCAAAGACTTATCATGGTAGATATTCCAGAAAATTCTGCAAACCTGAAATCTTTCTCATGTACTGAATGCATGCTTCCCTAAAGTGTTCTGGTCATTACATAATTGGGAATATAAATATTTCATGCATGCATAACTTTAAATTTATTTTAAGTATGAATCCCTTGATACATTTTGTTAGAAAAAAGTCTGAGTAATTTAAAAAACAATTCATTAAAGGTCCCATGGAAAGTTTTGCATACTAAATGTTAATATATGCAAATACTTATTAAATAATAATCTAATAGGCCCATATGTTATTCTATCCAAAAATAAAGTATGAGGGTTTGCTGTAGAAGTAAAGAAGAAAAAACATAGTATTTCTTCCTCTTTTCCTGAGGTCTCCACTTTCTCTCCTCTTATGGAAACAAGAAGATGGAGGGTTAAAGGAAATACAAAGAGTAAAGAGACACGTTTAATCCCTTAACTGGAGTACATTTACAGCTCTTCCAGACATATGTAGCAAGTTACTCCCATCAGCTCCAATTTACAGTCTAAGATTCAATAAGTACTCAGTGGATATTATCACTATTTTTGAAACAATGCCCTTTCATTAAATAGGAAATTTGAAGTGAAAAGCACTGAAAAATAAATGTTGGGATATTGCAGAATACTAGTAGCATTTGATTAGGAGTTAGCTTAAAGTTTTTTTGTTTTTGTTTTTTTTTTTGTACTGAGGATGGAACTCGGGTCCTTGTGCTTGCGAGGCAGGCCACCCAACCGCTGAGCTAAATCCCCGGCCCTAGCTTTAAGTTTTTTATGTATATTGTTTTATTTAATGCTTAAAATAATTCTGTGAGGTATGTACTATCAATGGTCAAGAATCTTATGTGTAAAAAACTGACTACTGCAAAAGAAAAATTATTTCCTAATATTTACTGATCTATCAAAACAGTACCCTAAGCACAAATCTTTTAAATTCAGTTTTATTCATAATACTATACTAAATCCTCCTGCTTGAATGATTTTATACAGACTGCTTCCCCATTAAGTATATGTGCAAAATCCATGACATTTAATTTTAAATAATGTATCTCTGTGTGAGACACATTATATAAAATCCTCCCATCGTATCAAAATAAAAATTATTTATTCAACTATATGAAGAAATGGCAGACTTGAGCTTCAAACTTTTATGTATATATTTTTAGATATTCATATTTAACTGATATTCTAATTCCTGATTTCATTAAAATGTAATCTACACAATATGTATATATTTTTAGATATTCATATTTAACTGATATTCTAATTCCTGATTTCATTAAAATGTAATCTACACAATATGTATATATTTTTAGATATTCATATTTAACTGATATTCTAATTCCTGATTTCATTAAAATGTAATCTACACAATATGTATATATTTTTAGATATTCATATTTAACTGATATTCTAATTCCTGATTTCATTAAAATGTAATCTACACAATATGTATATATTTTTAGATATTCATATTTAACTGATATTCTAATTCCTGATTTCATTAAAATGTAATCTACACAATATGTATATATTTTTAGATATTCATATTTAACTGATATTCTAATTCCTGATTTCATTAAAATGTAATCTACACAATATCATGATAAACAGAAGTTAAAGAGTGATTCAAAAATAGATTTCTGTGCAGGTTGTTGGTGATCTAAGTAACACATTTTTCTAAGAAATTAGTAAAAATAACCAAAGCTCACATTTTTTTTGCAAAAACATAAAATTTTAAAACCCTTGCTCTCAGATTTATGACAAATCTGAATCTCCTTGCTCCAAAGAATGGCACTGCATTACGACAGGATGTCGGCCAGTTTTTTATATTGCTAATTATACCTCAGCGTGTTTCCTAGCTCAGTGATTCCAGAGTGGAACCTACAGGCTTAACTAATCCGGATGCACATGTACAAACAATGGAGGAAATTTTAGAACTTGGGAAATTACCCTAAAAACACACATAAAATATATATGAGAGTATTGTTTATTGACCCATTGGGTGAAAATTCTTTCCCTTCTGATTGCAGTAAACTGATAGTTTAATCTTCTAAAAAACACTTTACACACACACAACCAAAACTGTATTCTGTATACTACAAACATTATTAAACCAATATTTTAAAATTGAATATGTTTGCTGTAAGTGTAGATTATATTTGAATTCAAACACTGGTTGCCCATGCATATAGCTTGCCTAAAGCGTATGCAAAGGTATGACTAAATTTTAACTCATATTTTCAAAGTATGTCTTGTAAAGAAGCAATCTATAAATATTCATTGCAATAATGAGGGCTTGGTAAGTCTATTTAAAATTTTATATTATGGAAGTGAATTATTAATTATATTATATTAAATTATATTAACGAAAGTACATTATTCTTAATTTCCTTGTTCTACTGATTTTAAAAAAGTCAGCCTGGTATCATAAACACAATTTAAAATTTGTAATCCCATATTTTTTCTGATTACACAGTTAGTTGCTTTGATTAGCTTTTAAAATTGGATCAGTTAAGTGTTATGTAGTCAGGAGCCTTATGTCACACCAGTTAATATAATACTCTCCAGTTATAAAGAACTAGAGATATGTGTAAGATGTAAATAATAGAAACAAAAAAACATATTCTTTCTTTTGCTATTCACTGTTTATGTCTTAGGAAGAATTAAGACATTTTACCTGCTCAGACTGTAACATAGATATATACATTCTCTATATGTCAGACCTGAAACAAATGTGCACGCCTACCTCGTTACACAAGCTCTGCAGAAGGCAGGTGCCCACCTTGACACTTCCCGTCTCTCCCCACTGACCCCTTGACCTTAGAAGACTCAAGCTTGTTTCACTTACGGGATTTGTGGCTACCAAGGCCTGGTTGTTGGCGACTGCGGTGAGGTGAATGATTGTCACAGTGGAGTTACAAATGAAAGAGAAAAACAGATTTTTGTGCAACGTAATCCTTTGGCAGCTTAGGCTCCTACAAAGCAAGGAAGCAAAGTGTGTTGACATTAGAAAGTATTTCCACATCTTTATTAAATATCATGCAAATAAGGTACATGCCCAGTTCATAGAGGCTGCTCTAATTTTGGAAAAGTTATTTCTTCTTCATATCCCTTCATGATAAATCTTAACTAAGGAAAATATACAATTTCTGAGAACCTGGGGGCAAAGGAGTTACTTTTTGTATGCAGGGACAAAAAAAAAAAATCTGCCTATCTTAGATCTTTTAACATCTTCTGTTAATATTTGGATAGGATTAGTATTTTTTATTTATTCTGCAAATGCAGAAATCAGGATGTAGTAGAGCTAAATAATCCATAACTTATGCTGCTAATTAATTTGAACAATTAGATTTATCTGTCAGATTCTCACATAGAAATGTGCTTTTTATGACCCCACAGAGATGTTTAAATTGTCTTGTGCTTGTGGTGGTAATGATCATGAGAAAGATATCACTGTATTCAGAGTAAATGAACTGATAAAAATATAGACATAGCAAATGATGTGAATTGTTTAGTTCCACTGATTTCTTTCTGCTTGGCCTACTCATACATAAGATACAAAAACAATATCACTTCCACTGAAGTTTTTCCTGTCTAAAATAAATATACAAGAAGAGTTCAATAGAAACAGATGTGGAGTTTAATAGAAATAGATTTTGGGAAAAGACAGCATCAGTGTGATGTGCGATGTCACCTTTCAGGTTGAATCCATATTCACGAAGACTGTACGTGACTACCTTACACAGACCACTTAGTGATCAAGAGTTCACTTGTAGACTTTGGGTGGTAAACATTTTAAAATAATAGAATGGAATCCACCTGAAGCTAAATATTTAATGTTAAGTTTAAGCACATACATAGGAAGATATTACAGAGCACTAAGAGCTCATGTGTGTATTTTACTAAATTAAGATAACAGCTATCCTGGACAACCCACTGTAACTCAAACCAAAGATTCCATCTTTGAAAACATTAAGGGAATTTTCATCTTATTTTATCTCCATATCTCTTTATATTAAGAAAAAGAGGGAGAAAGAAATCAAATGTCTAGTATATCAGAGTTAGACTAAGATATCAAGGCTTTCTATATTTTAGAGTACAAAGTTTGGCTGTATTACTTCAGAAGTTTCTTTCAGCTATATGTCTCTGAGTTTACACATTGCTGTAATATTTTAAGGAGCGTGGAAATGGATGCAATCCAAATTAGTTTTTGTGGATTGCCAATACATGCTTTCCACAAAATCAGATGTTTTTAGTGAAGATTTATATAAAAGGCTGGCTGGACGTGATGATAATTGAGTCGGGTGAAGACGGTCATGTCGCAGGAAGTATATAAAATCCAGCTGAAGCCCACTGAAATATAAACAACAAAGGACTGCTAGCTCCCTATTCGAGAGTCATTTACTTTGACTCGACTTTGCAGTGATCACAATGAGTGACGCAGGCACTGTCAAACTTGATCTGCAAAATATTGATAACATTGTATAGAAAAAAATATTTGAAAAAAATTGCACAAGGAGATTAGCGTCATTCTTATTATCGAAAGAAATGCAACACTGAGATAAAGACATTCCTATTTACAACAAAATGCCACAGCAACGGCACGATTGCTGTGGGTTCACTGGGAGCGAAGAGACTAAGAGGAAAGGTCTGGTAAAGAACGTTCTCTCGGAGGAAGCACACGTGGTGTCTTTCTATAGTGCATCTCTCTGCTATGATGTAACACAAGCATATAGTTTGTTCACTTGGTCTTATTTTACATGCCTGCTTTGAGCTTACTCTGTATCTAAGCAATGTTTCATTTTGTTTAGGGAGGAGCTACTTATGTCATGTAAATTCGCACTTTTTTGAAAAGCAGGATTTAGTTATATTAGTCAATTGAAATGGTGGGGAAAAATTGAAGTTTTTCTGAACTGAAATGTTTTTCCCTTTCCATCTGAACAATAGGTTTATATCTAGGTTTATTTGTCAACATATGTATAGAGTTTATACTTTTTGAATTATGAGGAGAAGTCTGGAAAGCTTCACTTGGACAGAAAATCTGATATATTTGTAAGGAGTGAATCAGAATTAAGGAAAACAAACACCAAAAATCGACTTTACAAAATAGTGATAGATGAATGAGGAAGAGAGAGCCGGAGGGTAGAACCCGAGGAGCATGATACAAACAGCATAGTTATAGCCGTTGGAATTAGTAATGGTCACTTGACGAGCCTGACAGATATTCCAATAAAATGGTAGCCACTGTTAGTTACAAAACAGCTTTAATTTGTTCTGTGTGCACTGTAATATCCTGCCTTTCTCTAGGATGGGCTGTACCCCTGTTCTACTCAGGGTTCCCTCTTTCGTGTGGCTCTATTCCCAGCTCACTCTGACTCTAACGACAAAGACTCAAAAGTGAGCTGTGTCACATGCACCCTTCTTCAGGTGTGGCTGTTGCGGAAACAGACGCACCGTAAGTGGCTTCTCGTACTCTCCATGTGGGAAGGGTACACTGGATTTCTCTTTGTTGCTTTGGGCAAAAAATGAAATCCACTTAAACTGACATGAAATAAGCACTAAATATTTAGGAGAATGATGAAAGTCACTGCATTACTCAGACTAAAAAATATTTTGAATATTTTATGAAATTGCTCAAATATTATCGTTGATCTAGGTAATCCGTCCTATATAATTCAAACCAGCGACTTCTGCTTTGGAAACCATGAACCCTGAATTCAGCTGTCTAAGTTGATGTAATAAACTGAATCACTTCCAAATTATATCACTTTGTGTTGTGAAAATAGATCCTACTGTCTAAAACATTAACCTATTGCTTTAGTTTCTTCTATTTGTGCCTCTAGGCATGGTACAATTTAAATAAATGCAGACAGATGGTTTCTATCAATGTCTTGCGGTAAAACTATCCCAGAGTTTTCTAGTGATGAATATTGTTTTCTCCTAAATGTATTCATTAATACATACAAGTGGATTCATACAAATGAGATCAACCTGAAAATGAGAACCAAAAACATGTAAACAAATGGTTTGTTTAAATGAGACTTCAAAATTTGAAGCTATTTTTTCCAATGTTAACCTATAATCAATTTTGCCTACATTAAATTCTTAAATGTTATTTTACTCAGTGTATTCAAGGCAATTATTTATAGGCTTAGAGAATGTTTTCTAAAAATTTCTCTCTGGTCTCCTTGAATTTTATAATCTCTCTTTCTCCTCTAGCATAACCACAGAAGAACAGAAAGTGTGGTTGACAGGTCTGGGTCATTGTTTCCATTTCATATTCCTTATGTATAATTATCTGAGAACACCAGTTCAATGTGCAACTTCGGCAAGTAGACATATGGAGATAGCACAAGTGTGCAAACATGATTATACCACGTGTATAATGTAACCACGTCTTTTGGAACAATTCTCTTCTGGAATAATTAGAAGTAGGTATCTTGAAATTAGCACTTGTTGTTCAGTTTGTGTTGAAGCCTGACCTAAGAGTGAGTCTGGACTCTGCTTACTTAAGTATGAATTTGAGTTACTCTTATGTAAGATCGCTCACCCTTGGTTTCCTTACCCTTACTACAGAAACTTTGTAGGGTTGGCTTGAAAGTTAAGTGAGACAAATTAACCTATGGTTAACACTCAGTCTTAAGTTACTTATCATATTTATCATCATTATCACTGATTTTAATCAAATACCCTTGAGTGTTTGGTCACCAATAATAAAATAACATCACATTTTACCTCAGGCTTATAACAAATATTAAAACAAATATTCTTAAGTAACTCAGTAAAACAAGAAGCTATCATCTTTTTGTACAAAATAAAAGGATTTAGCTTTAGTAAGACATTTTCCATATGGTAAAGAGCAGTAGAATGGACAACCTAAATTACTTTCCCAAATAATTTCACTGTTTTTATAGCTGTCTCAAAATCATCATATTCATAATCACGGTGCCCCTAAATATGATGTTGACCCTTTCTTCAAATTTCTCACCACAAACATGGACAAAGACCTTTCTTTTGTTTTCGTTAGATTTGGACATGAGAGTGAAATTTCCAAACTACTTTTCTCAGTGTTAATTACGAGCGAAAGGAATCATGGAATGAGGGAATATAAACAACCTAGTCTACAAGATACGACTTTCTTATCCTAGTTCATCTAATTTATTTCTCAAATGCTCAGATCTTTTGTGAATGAAACACTGACGGCATAAGTGAAAGGAAAGATCAAGTCAATCTGAAGGCTGCCAAAGCAGGCAGAAAAACAGTAAGTCTATTACAATAGTAACCACTATCTCTATATTTGATCTACTGCATTGAGCTTTAAGCTGATAGAATAGTGTATGTATGAGAAGGAGTAGTGCTAAACCATCAATGGCTTTCTTTTGGTCAGCAGGACAGATTAGAAACAACACAAGTTGCAGAAGGATTGTCAGTACACACCCATCTTGAGCAGTTAGCAAATTAGCATCAGTCTGCCGCAAAAAATACTTAAAAAAAAATAATAAAAGGGAAGCTGGAGATGTAGCTCAGTGAGATGAGCCTCGTTCAATCTCCAGTACGGCCAGAAAAGCCAAGCAATAGAAAACAAAAACCTCTTAGAGGTAAAATTTGTAATAAAAGCAGCCACCTTTTGTTGAGCCCCTACCTAATATATCCCAGAAACAGAGATAAGCACCTTCGAGCCATTATCTTGCTAAAATGTCATTACTCCTTAATAAAATGGAAGTAAACTCTACACATTTATATTTTTATTACACGATCTGTTGAATTTAAAAGAAAAGAAAGTTCTGAAGGCTTTTTCTCTATTTAATTATTCACTTATTTTTTTAGTATTTAGTGTTCTGTAGTTACCTGTTGGGTTCTTGGCAAATGGTTGTGAATAACAGAACAAGGTACCGAACTCAACTTATTTTCATTAAAATTGAAGGCAAATAGACACTGAGAACAAAATAAATCAGACAACAAAATGAAATTTTAA